TTAAGACGAGCTTTGGACTTTATGTGTAGTTGTACGTGAGTCTCTATGAAAAGTGTTGACACAGAAGGAAAGCTACAGTATATTCCAGTAGTGAAAAGCAGTCAGCACAATAGCGTTACATGAGTATTGGGTTGTTATGATATATTGGGGATAGATGTAAAAATGTAAATAAAAATTCCTGGGAAAGGGTCCCAAAATGTTATCATGATTACTCTGGAATTCATTTTTCCTTTTGGATTTTCTGATTTCTAAATTTTATATGTTAAGTAAGAGAAATTCTATTTTAATTGCCAAGAAAAATGGTTAAGGCCGGGTGTCGGTGGCTCAGCACTTGGTGAATTCCAGCACTAATTCGGTGAGGCTCGAGGAAGGGTGACTATTGAGGATAAGGAGTTCCAGAACCGCCTATAAGGGCCACATGAGCCCGAACCCTCGACTATATTAAAATGACAAGCAGTGGTAGCAATCAAGCCGTTCAACAGAGAGTAGTGCACGCCAACAATAATCCCGTACTTGAGAGGCCTGAAGCATGTAGAGAATTTGTTGTAGGCCACCTAAGGAAGGTAGAGAGTCTCGTCGTGAGCGGTGACGCTCATAGCATCCTTTGGATCCAGTTCATAGGAGGCAACAGAATGATCTCTGATATCCCTCATTCCCAAAAAAAAAAAAAAAAAGAGACAAGAAAGCGAAAGAGAAAATATAAGTACATGCGTCATAAAAAAAAAAGAGCGTAAAAAAAAAAAAAAATCATAGGAGAACAGAAATGTCAACCAATACATTGATTTTTATGTGTAGGAAGATGCTGTGAAGAAATGGCATTGCTTTTACTGTAATAGGATATTCTTACTATGTGAATGTTGCCATACTTTATTGGCTGAAACTTTCTTGTTACCAGAATCACCAGGGATACAGATTCTGGGTTTTATCATTCTGATACAGTAGACTTGGAGTGAGGCTTGGAAATTTAGCCACAGGGAATTGGTCAAATTATGGCACATTATTAAGCTGAAATCATATATCCATTAGCAATAAGGTAGAGAAGACTACTTAATGGCCTAGGACATTATTCATAGCATGTTAAATAAAAATTAATGGTTATAAAATAATACAATGTAATTTTATAAGTAAGAGGAATTTTTACACACACACAAGCATACCCGAAATGTTAAGCATAATTAGTCACTTCTATAATGGAATTGTTCTTTTTATTTTATTCTTTTTGATTTGTTGCATTTTTCTAAATTTGTTATACTTTTCATTTGTTGGTTTTGTAGTTATTTTTAAACCATCATTTGCATCCTTTCCTTTATAGGGGTATAATTGCAAAAGATAGAATTGACAGAAATTGTATAATGAAGAGACATTTTTAATCAAAGAATCCTTCTGTTTTCATTTTTTTAAATCCACATGGAAACATTAGTGAGGTGAGGTTAATTACTTGGTATGATCCCTTACAAATTGGTGAAATAGTGATTGTTCAGGGTATACTGTAAATCTAATCCTGATCTACATTTCCACCAAGAACGCCTCCCATTATCCTTCTCGAGGTCCTTTCGAGGAGATGGCATTCCCTTGTGCAGGAGAGGCAGTGGTTACACGTGTTTGCATGTTTATTTTCCAACAAGATCTTTTTTCGAACTCTCTCTCCCCACATGGGATGGCCCCAGGGCCTCACAGGGCTGCTTCTCAAATTAAATAGTTTCACCAAGTTCATTGGTCATTTTCCCAAATGTATTGAATTTACATTTCAGACTTATTTGTTAGGGTGGCTACTACATTAGCACTGTGTTCTAGAGACTAGCGATAAATGAGGCTTAAACTTCTGCTGTGGTTTAAGTGTCACCTGCAAAACTTATATTAAAATTTAATTGCCATTGTGACAGTATTAATAAGTGTGACTTTGGCTAGGCATGGTGGCTCACGCCTATAATCCCAGCACTTTGGGAGACCTAGGTGGGTGCATCACCTGAGGTCAGGAGTTCAAGACCAGCCTGGCCAATATGGTGAAACCCATCTCTACTAAAAACACAAAAATTAGCTGGGCATGGTGGCAGGCGCTTGTAATCCCAGCTACTCGGGAGGCTGAGGCAGGAGAATCGCTTGAAACCAGGAGGTGGAGGTTGCAGTGAGCTGAGATCATGCCATTGCACTCCACCCTGAGTGACAAGAGTGAACTTCGACTCAAAACAAAAAAACAAAAAAGAAGTATGACTTTTAAGAAGTGAGTAATATCGGGAGAACCTGCTCCAGATGGTTACATGGGTTCTTTTCTATTTCCTAGGTGTCTCCGCCGGTTTGAGAAATAAACAGAAAGAGCACAAGAGAGAGAAATTTAAAGTTGGGTGTCCGGGGGAGACATCACCTGTCGGCAGGATCCATGATGTTCCCCGAGTCGTAAAACCAGCAAGTTTTTATTAACAATTTTCAAAAGGGGAGGGAGTACACGAATAGGGTGTGGGTCACAGAGATCACATACTTCACAAGGTAATAAAATATCACAAAGCAAATGGAGGCAGGGTGAGATCACAGGACCAACCGGATGGGGTGAAATTAAAATTGCTAATGAAGTTTCTGGCCCGCATTGTAATTGATAACATCTTATCAGGAAACAGGGTTTGAGAGCAGACAACATGTCTGACCAAAATTTATTAGGCGGGAATTTCCTCATCCTAATAAGCCTGGGAGCGCTACAGGAGACCGGAGCTTATTTCATCCTTTTCGCTTGACCATAAAAGACTGCACGCCTTAAGGGGGCCATCTACAAACCTACCCTCAGGGCGCATTCTCTTTCTCAAGGATGTTCCTTGCTGAGAAAAAGAATTCAGCGATATTTCTCCTATTTGCTTTTGAAAGAGGAGAAATATGGCTCTGTTCCATCCGGCTCACTGGCGGCCAGTTCAAAGTTACTTCCCTTGTTCCCTGAACATCAATGTTATCCTGTTCTTTTTTTAAGATGCCCAGATTTCATATTCAAACACACATGCTCTACAAACAATTTGTGCAGTTGACACAACCATCACAGGGTCCTGAGGCGACATTCATCCTCCTCAGTTTACGAAGAAGATGACGGGATTAAGAGATGAAAGTAAAGACAGGCATAGGAAATCACAAGGGTATTGATTGGGGAAGTGATAAATGTCCATGAAATCTTCACAATTTATGTTCAGAGATTACAATAAAGACAGTCATAAGAAATTATAAAAGTATAAATTTGGGGAACTAATAAATGTCCATGAAATCGTCACAATTTATGTTCTTCTGCCATGGCTTCAGTCAATCACTCCGTTCAGGGTCCCCGACTTCCCACAACAGAGTAAGCCATGAGAGCTCCACTCTCATGTAATGGTTAATGTCAATAGAGTGGGTTGTTATAAAGGGGACCCTCTCTGTCTCTTGCTCTTGCTCTTGCACAGAGAAGGCCCTCTGCCTTCTGCCATGGTAAGGCACAGCAAGAAGGTCCTCACCAGATATCGTCCCTTAACCTTGGACTTCCCAGACTCCAGAACTGTAAGAAATTAATTACTGTTATTTATAAACTACCCAATCTGTGGTATTCTGATGTAGTAATGCAAAATGGACTAAGACACCCCCTAAACAGTTTCCCAAAAACTTGATTTAGGTAGAGAGATGGTGATTTTTTTAAATCTGTAAGTTCAGTATAGTGTGAATGATGATGGTAAGCTTAGAACATGAGATTGGAAAGATCTTTGTCATCCTTGACTACACAGGAGAATTTACTCTGGAGGCTTTTTTAAAAATAGAGATGCCTTTTCCCTACCACTAGAACATTTAATTACTAGATGTAGGGTGAGGGTCCAGTATCCTGTAGGTTAAAAAATCTTCCCAAGTAATTCTGATCTAGAGCTGAGTTTGAGATCCACTCTATTACAGCAACTAATTCTGTCTATGATGTTCCAGAATACAGCAGTGAAGAAACGCTAGTTGAATAGAATCTGGGAGGATGAATAGAATTTGACGTCAAAGGATAATCTAACAGAAAAAATATAGAGGGATTCAAAGTCAAGATTCCTGGCCAGGACTGGGTTGATGTGGGAATTTGTAAGTGTTCAGCATGGTGGAAGCATGGAGGTCATAGGGCAGGTCTCATGTGTACAGGAAGACAGCACGGAGAGGGTTCTGGAAAGTGCATACAGGTTACTGGACAGGATCATCTAGACTATCTAGGTTGGGTCTAGAATGTGAGGGGCCAGAGAACTTATCATGAACCAAGAGTGTGTGGGCATTAGGGATCCAGCCAAGGCTATAGTATAAGGGAGAGACCTGGTCACAGTGCCTGTGGTGGAATGGAAAGAGGCCACAGACAGTGGAGACTACTGGGCAGTATTCACAAGACATCTCTGAGGCAGAAGTCACAGGAAATGGCCACTGTGAACACTGTGTTATCTATTAGCAATATCACTTCTGGAATTTTTTGAGCTTTCACTTCAATATTCTTTCCTCAAATGACAAAGCATTTCTTGTATTCAAATATCCCCAGTTATTTTACCTTTTCTCTATACATTTATGTAATACTAAATGAGAGAGAAAAAATGGTCATGACAATAGAATGAGGTTATATGAATGTCTATATAAAATATATGTGTGTATATGTATGTATACATTCTATTTTTTGTATTCACATATATATTTTTTTCTTGTTATCAACAATCACCTTCCCTAGAGCACTTTCTGAGTATAAATCTATGAGCTTTGTAAGCGCAGCACCAGGAGAATTTCTGGAGCCCAGTCTCTGCCTGTGTTTCTTTGTGCTCTCTCACTTGACATTTCTGAATGCAAATATGTCTGACAAGTGTAAATAAGGGTGTCACAGCTCGGAATAGTACCCATTTCCGCCTTGCCATCTCTTATCATGTATGTGTTCAGGGATGAATATGCCATTTTCATATTCTAATATTTTCACAGTTGGAATTTTTTAGAGTGCAATGGTGAGCTCTATGGTTTCCAAGGTGAAGAAATGGATCTGCTTTATATCCTTGTAGAATTCAGTGCATTTGCAAATACTTTGAAAATATGCCGAAATCAAAAAAAGGAATACTAGGTGTTCAGCCAGTGGACAGAAGAAGCATCTGCTGCACAGTACTTCCAGGTCAGCAGGGTTATCCTTTGTGAAATAAATTGATTTGTTTCAAGGTGTGCCTCTGAACACATCTGGGCAGGGTGGGTGGAGAGGAGATAATTGATACTGCAGTGGTTCTCAAAATGTGGTCGCCAGACCAGCAGCATCAGCATTACATAGATTTAAATCCCCATTCTGCCACTTATTACATTGTCAGGACTTGGGCAAGTTGCTGGATCTTTCTGAGCCTCAGCTTCCTCATCTGAGAAACATAATTCACCTGATTGTCATGATGCTTTAATTTAATTAGATGAGACTGTGAAGCACTTAGCATGGTACCTGGCCCATAGAAAGGCCTTAAATGGTGCCAATTACAACAATAATACTTCTTACTAGTATTCAGGGACTTATATACACCACATCACCCAACTGGCTTGCCTCTGTTTCCATCAGGATTACCATGATTACTACCTTCTGCCCCACTTCCACCTCCACCAGGATTTCTATCCAAGTTCTGTTTTTCTGTTGAGGCTAATGGGGCTCATCAGGGCAGGCCATCCCTTTTGGCCCTGGATCCTTTCTCTCTTGACTCTATTTTTTTTTTTGATAGGGTCTCGCTCTATTGCCTAGGCTGGAGCACACTGGTGTGATTATAGCTCACTGCAGCTTCCAACTCTTGGGCTCAAGTGATCCTCCTACTTTAACCTCCCAAAGTTCTGGGATTGCAGGTGTCAACCATCCCAACTTGTCTATTACTCTTGATTTGTGCTCTCTCATAACCTCTGATTTAGGAAGGGATCTTGAGTACTTATCTCATCAATATCTAGGCCTGAATCTATTGAATCTATGTAGTCAGAAGTCTGGGATCTACTTAGAATTCTATGCTTTACATATAGGGCCAACATGGCCAAGTCACTGTGTCTCTCAGAGCCTCAGCTTCTCTGTTTGTGAAAGATCATGTCTTTCTTGACCAAAGTGGCTGTCAGAATCAGATGCTCATGATCGTGCTGACTTTGTGGGTTGTTTACTCCCCCTCTTTTCTCCTTCCCTTGTAGTTTTATGGCTGCATTTCTCAACAGCAGAACATGATGCAAGATTTTGTGAGGACAGCCACTTACCACAGAGCTGTCCTCCAGAATCACATTGACTTTAGAGACAAGGTAATACCGGCAGCAGGTTATGAATCTCATGCATTTCAGAAACCTTTTCAAGACCAGAATCAAAATGAAACTTTAGTAGAATTACCGTATGACCCAGCAATTCCCCTCCTAGTTATACACCTAAAAGAATTGAAACAGGCATTCAAACAAATACTTGTACACAAATGTTCATAACAGCATTATTCAAAATAGCCAGAAAGTGGAAACAGTCCAAATGCCCATCAACTGAAGAATATATAAGCAAAATGTGGTATATTTACGCATGGAATATTATGACTATTATTCACATTTGTATTATTCATAAGAAGGGATGCAATGCTGATACATGCATCACCATGGATGAACCCCCAAAACATGCTAAGTGAAAGAAGCCAGTCACAAAAGATCCTGTGATTCTATTTATGTGAAGCATCAGAATAGATAAATTTATTGAGATAGAAAGTGCACTAGTGGTTGCCAGGGATGAGGGAGAAAGGGAAATAGGAAGCGACTGCTTAATGGGGACAGAGTTTCCTTTGGGGGTATAAAAATATCTTATAACCAGATAAAGGTAATGGTCACTCAATGTAATGAATGTATTAAATGACACCGTACTGTACACTTTAAAATAATTAATGGCTAATTTGATGTTATGTGAATTTATCTCACTAAAATTATTAACCTTTGAGTGTCGAGAGACTGAATATACTGTTTTGGTGCATCAAACAGTTTAGGAGCTCTATTGCTACATAATAAATAGCTCTTCGTGAAACACTCTACTTCAGTTTTTTCATAGACTCCACAAGTACATGCATTTATTTCCCTCACGAAATGGATATGAATGATGAATGGTTGCCAGCACTTTATACAACTGTTGTCTAGGGTTCTTCTACCTGTTAAAGAGAAAAACTATTCAAAACACTCAACAGCTTATCTCTGAGGCAATAGTACTAGTCCAAAGACTTGGCAGTATGGGACCTAGTTTCATATTTTCTCCTTAACTAGCTGTGTGATCTTAGGCAAAATGCTGAACTTCTCTAAGCCTCACAGTCTAGTCTACTGACATAATAATTGTAGATCCATGGTCTTTGAGTTTTGCAGCATTACTCCCCAGGAAGGTTGTGGTAGGATATTGAAATAATTATCCGAATAATCATGCCTCCCTGTATCCACACATACATAGTCATGTAGCTCCTTCTCTCATCAAGAAGCATTCTAATATTTTGCCCCTTATCTCTGTGCTGACTTTGTGACTGCTTTGACCAATAGAATATGACAGTGGTGATGTTGTTTGAGTTCTAGAGCCTAGGCCCTACGGAGCCTCATAACTTTTCTCTCAACTTCTTGGAACCCAGTGATTACCATACTGTGAAGGAGTCTAGCCTGCTAGAGTTCAGAGGTCACATGGAGAACTGAGGCATCTCAGCCAACAGCTGCCAGACCTGTGAGCAAGGCCATCTTTGGTCTTCCAGTCCAACCAACCCTCCTGCTGGCTGCAGAAGAATGAACAAATCCAAGCAAGACCAGGAGAGAAACTGCCCAGCCCTCCCACAGAATTGAGAAAATTCATAAATTGTTTCTGATTTAAGTCACTAAATATTCTTGCATCTTTACCTCTGTTTTCACTAACTATTGTTGCATAACAGTAGTTATAGTTGTATACAATACAATTATACAGCTGCATACAAGTATATACAACTGTATGGTATTGTTATACAACAATGTTTAATGAAAACAGAGGAAAAGATGAATGAAAGGTAGTGATACATAGGCCCCCAGCTAGAAGTTGGTTTGCACATGGCTTTCTATTCTTTGTCATCTCCATTCTGCTATTGAGCCCATCAGTGAAGTTTTTATTTTGGTTGTCATATTTTTCAATGCCAAAATTTCCATTTGGCACTTTGTTCTGTCATCTGTGTCTTGGCTGACACTTTCTATTTTCCATTGGTTTTAGCGGTGTTCATGATTGCTGGTTGGAAGTTTTTTAATAATAGCTGTTTTAAAAGTCTTTGTCAGATTATTCTGACCTCTATGTCATGGCAGTGTTAGTTTCAGCTGATTATCTTTTCCCATAAGAATTGAGGTTTTCCCAATTCTTCTTGGTTGGATTTGGGCTGCAAGTTCCCTCCCCATAGTTGATCTTCTGAGGGCTATGTTTCATATGTCAATTCATTTTTCAAAGCCTTGGCGGTGCTATTTGAATCTGTCCACTGTGTATGTCACCCAGTGGTCAGCCTGGCACCTGGGCAGAGTTCTCAAAGTTTGGTATGCTAATTAGTACCAGATCCATCCATGCACAGGCTGAGGATGACCCCAGGAATGTATAAATGAAAGTGTATGGAGATGCTTTGCCAAGCTCCTTCCTTTCCGTGATACTTTTTGGTTTCCTGTGATCACTTTTCAGTCTCTTGCTAACAAGTTTACTCTGCCATGTACTTCCATGACTTTGCCTGCATATTGGCCAAGCAGAGAGAGACCGAGAGAGAAAAAAAAGCACTGGGGGTCAGCCCAGCCTTGGGAATGACAGCTCCACTGAATGGGGAGGAAGGTTTCCTTCCCTTATAGTTTTGTCTAATTCAGGCTGATGTTGGTAATACCACAAGATTCTTGGGGATAAGAGTGTGGAAGAAGGGAGGAAAAGGAGGGAAATAGAGGGAAGAGAGGAGAGGGAGAAGAGAGAAACACAGAGAATTTTCACACCCTGACTCTACGGAATTTACTTTCCCGCTGCTAAAACCAGAACTACAGGGTGTCTCAGGAGGTCTCTTTGTACCCTGGTGCCCATTTCTGGTGTGTCGACTTTAGGCCAGGGTTTACTGGAGGAAAAAAGGAGTAAACTCACTGTTGGTTGGGTAGTATTTCAAATCCCAGTCTTATCTCCTGATATGGTTTGGCTCTGTGTCCCCACCCAAATCTCATCTTGAATTGTAGTTTCCATAATCCCCACATGTCCTCGGAGGGACCTGGTGGGAGGTAATTTAATCATGGGTTGGTTACCCTCATGCTGTTCTTGGGATAATGAGTGAATTCTCATGAGATGTGATGGTTTTATAAAAGGCTTTTCCCCTTTTGCTTGGCACGTCTCCTTCCTGCCATCATGTGGAGAAGGATGTGTTTGCTTCCCCTTCTGCCATGATTACAAATTTCCTAAGGCCTCCCTAGCCATGTTGAATTGTGAGTCAATTAAACCTCTTTTCTTTATAAATTACCCAGTCTCAGGTATGTCTTTATTAGCAGTGTGAGAATGGACTAATACATTTCCTAATCTGCCTGACATTCTTAACTCTTCGGAGGCCTAAAATAGTTGCTCGAGGCATTCTGTCCAGGTGTTACAGCTGTATTCAGTGAGAAAGAGAGAGAGAGAGAGAGAGGGTGAAGTGGGCCTCCTCCAACCCACCCAGGACTGGACACTATCTAAAAACCACTTCTATGTGCTCTGATGGGTGAAAGTAATGGGTAAGAGGCAAAGGTGAGACCAGAAATGGCGGGGTTTAGCCAAAGAGTCTTATATGTCGTATGTCTTGAGGTGCCCAGCAAACAACCTTACTTTGCCAGTGGGACATGCCTGGTTAACAATTATGAAGTAAACATTCCCAGTGAAGAGGATCTGCTAGGATAGATGAGCAGGATGAAGACAAAGGAGAAAAACTAGTTCATTTTTGAGCTTATCTGGTCTTCAAGGTTGTGAGTAAGCAATCTTGTCAACCTAAGGTAGGTTTTTTCCAATTAAAATAAAATTTAACTCTGAACTGCTGGTTTCTTCTTCATGGTTTGAGCATGTTTCCTGGAGCCATTAGTTTTATTTAGGAAATATTCTCTCTCTGTATAGGGACTTAGTTTTAGTTTTAATCTGTAATCTATTTTCTATGTTATCTATGATCTATTTTAAATTCTGGTTACAACTTTAAAAACCACTCCCTAAATTACTAATGACACTAATAACTTACATTATAAAAGTCTTTCACAGACTTTTCACATGGATTGTATCACTTGGCCATTTCATTTTTGTATATTTTCATCTATAACAATGAAGATATTGGACTAGATTATCTTTAAGGTCACTCCCAGCTCTAACTTCATTTGATTTTACAAAATACCCTTTCCCTGCCTTCCTGAAATAGGTTCCTCTGCCAATGAAATGAAATAGGCATCCATCTGTTAGGGGTTATGAAGGTGATAATTAATCACATGGTTGATAATTAATTATATCCCTTTTCTTCTTTGAGTTCTGAACCAATTTAGAAATAGACACAGATGTCAGGAAGAAATCACAGTATCAACGTTATTGTTGCTGTTTGCAGAACAGGGTTCAGACCTATGGCCAAATGCAGTTTCCTAGATCTTCTGCTCCCAAACCGAACTTTTCCACTCACTTGCATGCCAAACAACTGGTCTCCCAAACAAGTCCAGAGCCTGCCCCATAAGGTTCTCACATGGGAAACTCAAGGACACACACTTGGTTGGGAGTGGGCAGGCCGACCCCTCCCAAGTGCATGTGCTATGCTTGCTCCATCCTATTTCCCAGTGTCATCATCAAGGTGAGTCATTCCTGCTAAGGGGAAAAAAGAGGGAGGGGAAATGACCACTCTTAATTCCATTACTGCCCTCTCCTGGGAGTAAATATTTCCTCCTTTCTGAAAATTGAAGGAGAAAACTGACCCTACTTTAGTTTCCCAGGAATCCCCTGGTTCCAAACACACCAGGATGGTTGGGACCCCTCACTCCATCTTTTTCAGTCGTTTTTTTTGTTTGCTTACATCATACTGAAGAGCATTCTGGAATAATGCCTGGGAGTCTGTGGAGGATGCTCCTTTTTCACTAAATCCTTGCATTCTTTCTCATTGAAATTGACTATTTAAAAGGGCATTGAAATTGACTGCCTAAAAGCACAGGGTTTTAGAATGATCAATAACAATGGCTATTATTTATTGAGCAGCTTAGTATGGGCAAGCACCATGCTAAGGGCTTTCCACACACCATTTCTTTTAATCTTCATCACAACTTTATGAGATAAATACTAATATTATTGCTCTTTTA